AAACGCAATGGACGAGGTTTCACGAAGTTTGAAAGACCAGACTCAACGATTGATACATCAAAGAAAAAGACATACAATCAAGAACGCATTCGACTCAGAAAGTAGAAATTAACACTTCACATTAATTTTTACGCGCTGTTTCTACGCAAATTTGTATCTTAATAAATATTTTTCGAATCTGAGAACAGAACCTACGAGATAATGAAACAAACAGAGAACTTTGAAAAGTAACAGTGGCTAAAGCGACACATAACTCTAGGAAAGATCCAAAGAGATACAAATACTTTGAACTCTAAACATGAACTATGTTTTTTATTAATCAAAATAAAACAAACACCCATGTCTGATTCAAAATGACTCGTTGTTTCTTCTATTTTCGGTTCCTTTTCAACCATCAAGTTCATATTTCGGCATTCAGAGTCAAACTCATTCTTCTCTTGTCAAAGAACTTCAAATGAATATGGATAATTGTTTTTCTTTTACCCACATCATCCACATCCACATCAACAGTTACAGCCACACCCACACCTCCACACTTCCATGTTCACATCTCCACATCTATACCTCTACAACTACACCCAAACTCGCACCCACACTCAATCACACTTACAACATACCCACACCCTATTTTCGCGCGATTTTGCTAACGCGGGTTCTTCTTTTTCCTCTTTCTTTTCAAAATTGCTTTTGGTTTTGTCTGACTTGATGGTTGTCTTTGTAATTTTCGAAGCCTGCCATCAACACTAGCTTATTTTCAGAAGTATAATATTTTTTTAAAAGAGAAACTTATGACACAACAATATTTTTGAAAAAAACAGGTACTTTCAATGTCACTATCTAGTTCTCCATAACATTATCAGAAAGCTTTAATTGGACCGACAACGCGATCGTTATTTGTCGGCGTATCGTATTCAATAAAACTTAGAGTAAACTTTCCTCCTTCATTCGTGTCACAAGCTTCTTCATCAGCTTCACATGCACAGACAAACGAAGCTTTCCAGTGTTTGTTCGACTTTCTTATTTGCTCAGCACGCTTAATTCAGGCTCCTGAAAAGCATGAATCCATCATAATCGACAACATCGAAGACCGTCGAGTAATAACATCCGTCCATGCAAATATGATTTCATCGAGTGCAATTGTACCATCGGAGAAAACCCCATCTCCACTTTTCGCCACCCCATGACCGCTATAATAAAGAGAATAGTATTCGTAGCTTCCGTATCTGAAAAGTTCTCTAATTGTCTCCAATGCTTCTTGCTTCGAAAATCTTGCCTTGTAGACGGCTCCGTAAACATCATATTTACCAATCCTTTTATATCAGCTCATCATATGGTCGAGATATTTTTTAATTCCAGGCAGTCCTCCACTAGTGTTTTGACCCTTCGCCATTCTTTTTGGAAAAGCATTAACTTTTCGTGCTATTGAATCTACGTGACCTGGTGATGCAAGTATCAAGGCGAGACTTTCACTTAGAAAAAACGATTCATGAGAATAAATTATTTGCTTCTACATAGCAACGGAATTTTTACTTTCTATTTACAATTGTTTTGCCTTCATATATGATGTTCTTCTTGACTTTAAAAGCTTCAATTTGAATTATTCTCGAAAGAAAAGCGCACTAGGTAGCAAATAGTGAAGTCCATGTTGGCCGAATACTAATGAAGCTGGAATTTTAGCTGCATACTTGACGTAAAATCTGGTTGTTCTCTAGTAATTCATTCCGTCCGTCGCCTGTTCTGAAATGTAGTATAGTCGCTTTTTGGACAGTAATATTAGCGGCCTACATACTCTTTGTTTAAATGCTGTATGACTCAACGTGCGCTCAATTTATATTTAAGGATCCAGTAAATGGCTGTCAGAGCGAAAACCAAAAAATAAATGTCCTAAACTTTTAGTTTCTACTTTACAACTATACGACTTCTTCGAAGTCTACTGTGTACTAATATAAAAAAAGAGTATAGCAGACACTTCTATGGATTCTACCATCAAGTAACACGCAAAACTCTCAAAGAGGTTCTGGAAAAGAAAAGAGTCTGGATTTCTATACACAATCAGTTCCGATTTCATCCTAAAAATAGTTCTTTACCATCAATCATATGTTCTCCCAAAATGGTTCTATGGCTAAGAATATTTCTTTTTATTCCACTCCATCCCTTTTTGCCACTTTCCCATGTGAAAACATATGAAAAAAAATCAGATTATAATCAGTTGAAATCATCAAGATTTAATCGATTTCTTATTGAAGAAAAATTGATTAGGAAGCAACTAAAATTTAATGTAATCAGTTAAAATCCAACGTGCGCTGTTATGTTCGACGGATCGGTTGTTTTCAACATAATTGATCAGTGTTGAATACAAATTCAAAATAAATATGAAGAAACATACATCTGAAAAACGTACTTTTGAAAAAATCGTGCTCGGTTATATTCTTTTCTAAGAAAAGAAACAAATAATTCCTAAACGTATTCGACCATATTTCTTGCTTTATAAACGAAAAAAAGCTTTCCAGCACAGGTTTATGAGAGAAAACAAGCTCAACCATACTCTTTTTTTATGAAAAGAAATAGATACGGAAAATTTTTTCTCTGGAAACAGCAATTTTGATTACACGATCATTGTCAGTGTTGGCGATGGCGACAGGGACCTTTCAGCCGTTTACTACGCAAAATCGTACTTGGCTTAGTTGTGAAATCAATGGGAAGAAAAACTTTTCAAACACAGTCATGATTGTATTGTGATTATGACGTGATCTTCTGTTTTTGACTTAAAGCTTACTACAAATCTTTTCTCCAAAAGAAACAACTAAAGACAGTGATATAGAACGCAGAGCATAGAAGCAGAATTTTGTTTTATTTTTAAATTGGGTACAGCGGAAACGAAATAAAGGTTCATAGATATAACGCCTTATCTATTGATTTTTCACCGAATCATAAACTATTGGTAAACAGTGTAGGCTATTCAGAGGAACAAAATGAGACTTTCTGTTCTGAAGTTCTATGCATTTGAAGTAAACAAATACTATATGGTTCTTGCTTTAGTTGCGAAGAAAAAGTTAAAAATGACATTAGAATGATGCGTTGTAGACAGACATGAAAGAAAATTAACTGTATGTGATAGCACTTGTGAATATATGTTAAATTATTTGTAAAAGAAAGTTACGATGATTGAGAAACAGTTTCATATCAAACTTTTTGGAACATGTTTTCGCTATAGATATCCTGTTGAACCGTTTTGAAGTTTCGTATTTATATTGAAATAAGCCGAAAGAGTTTTGAAAGAAAGTGGCATAATCTTTTTATACTTCAAAATTAGTGTGCAGAATTTTGTAGGATTTTGAACAATCATGCAAAACTTTAAACGGTTGTGCATGTGACACATTGCCATAAATAGTTCGACTATAATCCTTGTTTTCATAGTAGAACACTTCTATTTAGACAGAATAGTTTATGTAGTCAAATTGAAACGTCATGCTTTTCTCGGCAAGGTCAACAGAACATGTTGATTAGAAGATGACGTTCTCCGATGTTCCGATAGATTGAGCAAAATAGACTGAGCCACCATAAAACCACCCTTTACCTTTTGAAAGAATTGGTATTATATTGACAGCGATTTCTACTTTGTCAGAAAAACAAGCATTAGAAGAATATCGTACTGTACTCACGTTAAGTATCAGTTCAGGTGAAATGATTCACCACTGCTGTTTGTAAGCGTATCTTTTGTCTTTGTGAAGAGTAGAAAACAATTCGATTTGTGTCCGTGTTCTGTGAATTCTTGAGTGGCCCTCTAAACTTGAAACATCTTGAGTTAAATGTGTTGTGCAATTTCTATCTTGTAATCTGCGGAAAAAAACTTCCAACATGAACACCAATCCTGTGCTGCACAAGTGTCAACAAAATTTCGAGTCGCTTGACAAACTGAAAAAGAGAAAAAAAGCCCATGCCGTAACTGTAATAACAAATGCCACTTCACTTCATTTCACCTCCTATGGCAATTTACGTCATGTTGTTTTACTTTTTCTATGACTTTCAAGAAGCGAACATTTTACTACCTTCATCACGGAAAAACGATGATGAATTTGTTGGAATGAAGGAGAAGGATGTGGGTGAGGGTGAGTATGGGTGTGTGAGTGCAGTTCTTCTTTTCACATTCGCTCACACCTAAATTGACACTCATAAAAATCACCTGCTTAAAAAAACTAAAACTTCACCTAAATTGATATACACATCATTATTGGAGTTGTGTCATCAAATTTTCTAAAACATTTCAAAACATGTTGTACTCAGTGATTCATAGACTAGTCAGTATTCATGGAATAATAGGGTGTGGGTGTGGGTAACGATACTGAAGACGAACAATCATACCCCACACCCGACCATACTCACACCCCAACCTTCACACACCGACGCACGCCCACACTCATATTCTCTTTTGTTCAAGTTGTAATAGATTCATTTTGCATGTTACTTCAATTCGCATAAATTAATTGAATTTTGTCAAGTTTTAAATTGAATAGTGTATGAGATCTTGCACGAACTTCTTCAATATCTTATCATAAAGAAAATGTATAAGAATAAAACAAAATCGTTTCGTTCTTATTTTCGCTTGTTCTAGTGAAGTAAATATTGTTCTCTATTATCACTCGACTTTGTACTCTGTTTTAATCTTAAATGACTGAAGTCAATCCAAATTACTGTAACACCACTAGAAGAAAAAAAAAGACAATTTAGAGAAAGTATGGATGTTTAACATCTTTATAAGTTGAATAAGTAATTTGTTTAACACTAAAATAAATTTATTTGAAAAAAGAAAACAAGAATTTTTAATTATAATTTCTCGTTGAAGATTACGTTGAATATTTTGTGCAAAACATTAAGCTAATTTATTAATTGTTGGCTAAATAGAAGAAGTTTTTAGATTATAGAGATGAAATTTTATATTTATTGCACTGTGTTTAACTTCTAAAGATTGTGAAACAGTTTTAACACAATAATCCGATGATTTATCTAATTGGATTTATTTCAAATTCAACTTTTAATATTTTTTGTTGACTAGATGACAATGTTGGTGATGCTGATTGTGAAATAGGTTGAGCAAGTAAAGGACGACTATCATTGGGAAGTTTTGATTGTTTTAAATTTGTAGCTATACCAAATGCTTGAAATGAACCCAAATCAACAAAGACTCTAAATAAAAATAACGATTGATATTAAAATAAAGCTATTTCAATAAGAATTTATTTGATTATTAGATAAACATTATTTTTGTATTTTATTTTACATGTGGTTTTTCTTGATGCAAAATGAAACTTTGATTAATAGTAGATATATAATAGTTCTATTACAGGTTTAGAATAATCAATTGAAGCTATAATTCTTCGTTGTCAAATTAACGCTAAGGTATGACTTGTGTGGGTGTTGCTTTCATTAATATTACACTAACAGATTATGGAACTTCATTTATATAGAAGTTGAAAGAAATCTTCTTATGAAAAGTGACAAAGACTTTTCAAATTTATGAATTTCATATAGATGATCATGACGTTAAACAGAAGAGCTATTTCTGATATATTAGTTTAATGAAGCTTATTCAATGTTATCGTCTTGCCTTAATTTATTATAAACAATACCGTTTTCTTTCTTGTTGTCGACTTATCAACAATTTATTACATTCTTAATATGATGTATAGATTTCTTTAACAAAAGAACCTTGGTCAATAAATTGTGTTAGTCAAGTAAAATTTCTAGTAAATATTTAGTTTGTAAATCAAACGCCATTTCTCTCATAACTACCCAAATAAAAACAATGAGTGAACGTGTACTACTGACAAAGGATAATCATTATATATAAGTATTCCAAGAAGAAAAATATTAGTAATACATGACAGTCATATAACAAAACCAAGATAAGTATCATTTTGCGTAAAATAAGTTATCACTTCTATTTGTTAATATCTATCGCATTTAAAAATAGGACTTATTGTCGTAGATCTTGGTCTCTATATGAATGTAGTCAAAAAAGATACTAAATACCTTCTATTGCATACAAATACTTGAAAAAAAAAGTAGAAAACATTCAAATTTCAACATGAATTTGAAATCAAAGGACTATGGTAATCAATTCTTTAGAGTATATGAATATAAATTATCAGATAGAATAAGACGAAATAATGAATTAAAAAAAAATATTGATTTTTATTTTTTTTCTATGGTAAATCATCTAGTAAATTATAATAAATTAATTTGTTTGAATATCCACAGAACTTTTGACCCATACCAGGTGTCATCATCAGTAGAACTGTGTTGTTGTTAGGGTGTGGGTGTGGATATAAAGCGTGTATTCGCATTCATACCCACACCCACATTCCACCCAATAGCAATTCGTGCATAGTTTTATTTGTTAAATGATGTTGTAGAACTTAGCTTAAGTTGATATACAATATGAGTATACTGATCATAAACTCCAAGCGTGGCATTCGTCGCTTGCTTTTGAAAATTGCCAACGGACCCCGCCCCCCTCTTTCAATGCTGCATTACGACTTTGATAAAAACATTTATCTGCTGTATTTTTTTTACCTTTCATCAAACAAAAAAACAGTTGGAAATATAATATTTCGTAAAGTCCTATTATTTTCGTATCACACTTTTTTTATTGACTCACTTTCTTGCATGAAAAAAAGAATTTTCAAAAATATACTTATCTACGCATTTTATAAAGCATGCAATTCTTTAGCGTTCTGTTTAGTTTTTTCATAAAAGACTCAAATAAATAGCATTAGTCGGTTTCTTTTGTGCACGAAAATACATCTACAACATTCGATGAGTAAACTTTTGCTGTCACAAAAATAGAAAAGAGAACACTGTGCATATTGAGTAGGTGGCCATCAACAACATACAATCATTCATTTAGGTAGTTTCATTGTGTAAATATTCAAAGAGAGAAAAAGCAGTGATGTCTCTGAAAGAGTGGCGTATGAATGGCAACATCGATATCGATCCATCTTTATTGATAGACTGTAATATCAATAAATTTAAAAATCCTATAAACATTTCAACATTTTATGATGATGATATATTGATATGGTTAGATAAATGTATTCATAACGATGAACAAGATGATCAGTATTCAATCTATCAACTTCGTCGTTTGATGAATTCATTTCTTATTTTTACAAATGAAAAAGAATGTTTGGAGTTCATTATTAATTTTAAAACTACGAAACATAAATTCTTCATAGTTATATCCGGTTCATTAGGTAAAGATTTTGTTCCGGTTCTTAATTGTTTATCACAGATTAATTCAATTTATGTTTTTTGTGGAAAGAAAATTGATCATGAATATTGGGCAAAAAATTATGAAAAAGTTAAAGGTGTTTTTAATGATATTAAAGACCTTTGTGTAAATCTTATATATAATAAACAAAAATGTGAATCTAATCAATCAACAATCGAGCATTTGATAGATTTATCATCAAAGAAATCTTCATTACCTTATGAATGTAATGAAATCATTAATTTAAAGAATTCTGAATGTAATAATTATCAACCGGATGATGATATGCAAATATCAACTGCATCAGCTGATATTCCATTTAGTAATAAAGAAAATTGTTCATCGATAAATGAAATAGAAATAGTTAATAATGTAGAATCTAGTCAAAGTGTTACTCCATTTATTCAATACAAACAACAGATGGAATTTTCCGATAATGGTAAAGATCAACATATGTAGAAAATTGATCTAATTTTATTTTGTTTATGATTTCAGGTATTTGGCCATGTTTATTTGTTGTTGACCGTGTACACAATGCACTTTTCAATCATCTTAATTCGGTTCTCGGATCAGTCAAATTTTCTCATTCGATGGAAAATTGTTTAGAACATGTTTGTTACCATCGTGATGATCCACATTTAATTATTATATGTGATCTAACAAATATTGAATATTTACCTATATTAATTCGTTCGAATGTACGAAACATATATATCTATTGTCCAAATAAATCTTTAGATGATTATAGTGTATGGACTGAAAAACATCCAAATGTTATTTGTGCATTACAACATACTGAGAGTCTTACTCGTTTGATTATTTGGGATTTATCTGCTTGTATTGTGAGTATTGGAAATTATTATGATAACGAAAATCAGAAAAATTTGGCTCAAACTCGATATCGGTACGCATATCGTCTTCATATTATTTTTCGCGAAAATTTAAATAATCGCTTGCAGATGTTCGAAATTATTGATCAATAAAATTCATTTGCTTGAATGATGATGAAAAAAAATCTACTAAATTTGTTGTTGTTTTTTGTTATTGTATTTTTTTTTCTTTCATTGTTGTTATTATTATTATTATTTGTGCTCGATCATTTTTGATCGCTCTATTATGTTCAAAGTTAATACTAGCTTTATGTATATTTTCAGATTATTTTTATAATCATAAACAGAAGAAAGTTATTCAAAGCACGTACATATTTATGATTTTCCAGTATCATACAATTATATCTACAAGATAAAAAAATTTTTTAAACGTCAAAGAAATTTAATTGAATCAAATTGTTTTTTTTATTCCTAAAGTTAGTTCGTTTTTGTGATCAACCCAATATTGTAAAATACTGTTTTATCTTCATAAAATACCTATTTGTATTTCACAATCATATTGTGAAATTTTCAAGAACAACATTTAGATTACATTAGACACTTCAACATGAATATTGTGTTTTTTTTTCGTGTTGGACTTTTGACTATCCTATTTTATTTTTGTCATTTTATGTTATCTTGGCTTGCCCCTCCCCCTTCCCCCCATATTTTCATAAAACCTTTCATTCACTTTTCCTTTTCACTTTGTAATATCCTACATGACGCACCAAAGTCGAAAACAATAATACTTTGTCTTGTTCTGTATTATAATCTCAATATTTTGCACTGTTTAGTTTTTTTTTTCTGAAGCACTCGATTTTATAACTTACTGTCTTAGGCTCTGTACTATTCGATACTGCCATATTCATCTATGTATCCTATTTAGAATTGTACAGGATCGAGACTACGAAAAAAATTTATTTCAAACAGGAATTCAAGATTTGAATTGAATATTGTATGGTTATAAGCGAATTATCTTAAACCTCAATCATAAATATAATTTAAGAAGGACCAATAAAATAGAAAATGAGTACTGAAGAATATTTTTAAATGTAATATGAATAATGTCTTGTAGAATGACACTATGATTGATGTGAGATGAAAAAAAACTTAGTTTTGCATATCTGTAGCCATCGGATAGTACATGCTTTAGTTCGCTCTCATCTTGTCATTTTTTTTCAAAAGAATATTTCGTTATCAGTTGAAATCTTAGTTACTTGCCACGATTTTAACTTTTCCTACAATGTGTGATTTTTCTTTGATATGTATTACACACTATTAAAAACAATTTTGAACAAAATATTTCAGGTGAAATATCAAGCAGTAGCAAATTAATAGAATGGCTTCGACAAACTTCCATCGATGTCCATTTCATGATTATGGTTGTCATAATCCAGTATGTTCATTAAATTGTTCAATTTTTTCTGCTAAATATTTATTTTTAGTTTCCACAAGATCAAATAAAACAGCATTATTTAAGTCAGACACATTATAAAAGTATTATTAACTTTATCTGCTTAAAGCGAGTTAAATATGAATCGGCTCTAATTGATCTTACAATCAATCCAATCGAGAGTGATAGGCTTTTATCTTCAAGAAACACTGAGTTAAATGATTATTCACAATTTATTGAACAACTGACTACTGTTGTAGCTGAATCTGTTTCATCCTCAAATATAACAGATATCACTTCAAATGCTGTATCATATATAGATCAAAGTAAAGTTTTTTTAAAACTTTGTTCTTCTTCTAACGTTTTACTTCTATAGTACTTAATCCGATTCAGTCTCCAGCAAGAAATTTAATCATAGAAACAGACAAAAATCCAAATCATACTTCCACTATGCAGTCGCATCAACAATTAGGTGAATTCAATGATATGATGATGAATCAGATTTTAAGTCGTATCGAATCATCATCTAATATTCATGAGATAAATCATCATAGAGAACAACGTCAAGCTGCATCAATGAACAATGAACATAATGTAAACATACATGAAATAATTCTATTCTATAAAAAGAAAATTTATCACTTTTAGACTATACAATTTTATGCGCATTCGTATGACATGTTTCAAATTGAATTAGAAAATGCACCTGTCTCAACAGATGGTACTCTCGTCTTGCATGTTGATAATGTACTCACAGAAACCGAGGGTCCGACTATTGAAAGACAATTATGTATTAATTCAAAGCAATTTCAAGCATTGACAGATGGTCAACGATTATTTGCTCGTGTTCACCTCAATGGCAAAACTAACGCTAAATTTATATCATTCCATATGCATCTGAATTTTCCAGTTCGTAATACTTTTATTGGTCATATTAAATTTATTTTGGTTGATCAAAGTGATAATTATCCATTAAAACATATTATAAGATGCTGTTCAGCAAAAATGTATAATGTCAATGATTGTATTGGATTCGATGATTTTATTGATAAAACTCAACTTCGTCAAGAATCACATCGATATATTCCTAATAATTCAGCTTATTTCATAGTTTGTGTTGAACAAACAAATGAAGAAAAATTGAGTCAATATCCATCAAATGTTAGAGACGCTATACGTCAAAGTTACTTGACATGTTAAAGTTATTCATTAATTTGTAAATTACATTTCATTTAATCAAACTTATATCTAATTTTATTTTGTATTCATTCATATTTAATGCGAAGCTAAATTTTTTTTATCTTGTCATTTTCTTTATTTTTGATATTTATTTGGTTTTGCCTAAGAATGAATCGAGATTAGAAGTGAAAATTCTACTTTTTCAAGAATTGATGAATAGAGTTTCAAAATTATGTTTTAATTATCCTACAAAAAATAATGTTTAGTTTTATTACTGATTTAAAGATAAATACACATTAGATTTACAACTCATAAAACAAAAATCTAAAAATGAAACTTCTAAACTCAATATGAAACAATCAAAATCATTATTTATATCTAACTTTGCTTTTTACTAATCAATGTATTCTCTCATATAAAGTATGAATACTAACACAACATTCAAATAAAATATGCTGATATAATATCATGTAATATGTGTGTGGGTGTGGATCTTTCTCTCTCTCATTTCAGACACCTACACCTACCCACACCCTTCCGATCCTGATTATCCCGTCTTCAAAAATTTTTCGGACGAACATGTTTTTTTGTGAATTGCGAATGTCTCGCAGAACTTGAATATTGATATTTTAACCAATGCATTCGCTTCTTTGTTTCGTCTACCTGTTCTCTTCTGCTCGCGGACATATACTTATGTTTTGTAATGTTTGCTTTTACGCACTTTTATCTCGAAGGCCAAAATGAAACAGAAGGAAAAAAAACGTGAGTATGAGGCTTCGCATGTATCGAAGAGAGGCACAGAAAAGAATTTGTAATAGTATATAGATAAAAAAACAAAGGTACACGTGTAGTTACTTTAGCAAACAGGCTTTATTTTTTCAATTCTCTATGAAAGCAAATAATTGCACAATCATATTGTAGTTTGACGAAATATTGTCAACAAACAGAATGTTATAAAGGAAAAAAGGTTTTAGCAAACATTCATTCCCAAGAAGCATACAATTTGAAAGCAAGCAGAAATTATGTGTGATAAAACTCCTGCAACTCTTCTTACATTACCTGTTGACAGTGTCTATCGTATTTTGGACAACCTCGATGACTATACAATAATATTGTCCGTTCGCAACATTTGCGAAAGATTAAATGCAATTACTAATGCATATCATCGATATCAGGTAAAATTTCCCATTATCATTTTTTTTTATTTTGCTTTTTTGATATTGTCGCTTGATCATTGTACCAAAAATATTTTTCGATATTTAAAGCTTTGTAGTCACAAAACTCTAATTAAAACATACGTCAGATGTTAACATGAAAATTCAGCTGCATTTGAAATACATGAATTAATTCCAGAACAAAAATACTTATTAACAGCTAAGTGTTTTGTAAGCGAACTGAAGTTATTGATTTCGACAAAAGTATACAATATAAAGTTGTATTAAACATCATAAACAGAAAAAAGATTAATATTTTTTCTAGGCTTTTTTCTTTTGCTGTATTCTCAATATTCGATTGAAAATTTATCAAGAATAATTATCTTTTATCCACCATTGATTTTAATATTTAGAAAACTAACTTAGCTTTCCATGTCATAGATGCTTGCAGTCATTATTCATGATCCAATATCATAATTATGAGATACACTTGTGATGAAATGTACGCTTGCTTTTGAAAATCATTCACATCAAATCTCTTGCTCATCTGAATGGAAAAGGTAAACATCAACATGTTTTTAAAAATCTTTCATTCATCATTTACAATCCTAACATTGGCAGAATCAAAACAAATTATATTCAAAATCTATATTATATCGGAAAATCAATTTATTTACACATATCAACTATTGAGTTTTCGAGAATTATTGGATGCATCTACATTCTCAAAATAAAACAAAATACTGCCGACTTACATATATTTTCTTAAATAAAATGAATATATTCATCACTTAGTATTCTTCATGTAATGAAACATAATCTAAGCAAGGTTAACTAGTGGGAATTTCGAAAGTTCAAAAATTAATTAAAAAGAAGAGCTATCAGAAGAAAACTAAACTGTATTCTAAGAAACGTTCACAGAACTACAAAAAAAATGACAAAAACTTCTAACACCATTTTGAAATCATCGTAGCTATACATTATGTTAATAAAAATGAAAGTGAAATTGCAGAAATCGATATCTTCCGAATAGAGATTCACTCAAGAGAAGACGAATGATCTATTAAATTAGTGTAATAATTAGTTGACGTTAAGAAATTCTCTTGTTCATCAATTTTCTTACACGAAAAGGAATTTTGTAGATTAAACGAATATAAGTTTTCAAAAAATAATGAATCGGATGTTCGACATGAGTTTTCAGATTATATAATCAATTTCTTCTCTATCTATGTACATTTTGTTTTGTTAATATGTGTCTAAAATGCATGTTGTGTTTGTATAAGAACTTGAACAGCATCCATTTTAATGGTAGATGCAATGATTAATAATTAATATATGTATGCCTTGCTGCAAGTACATTTGATCATATGGATCTGCATTCAATATCAATTAAACAATCCACTATTTGCCAGATGTTGTGTATTCGTTCTTTTCTTCCAAACAGTTCAATGGACTCTAATACTTTCATCAGTTCTCAATTCAAAACATTCGACAATTACTGATTAGTTACAATATGTAGAAGTGCCTCCACAGATATGTGAGTTACTCTTTATGGATGCAAAAAAGCTTGTTAGCGCAGCTCCTGCGGAGCTGAAATGTGGAACTCACGTATACCTTTAGCTTTATTACCTGACGCATCATCTGTATACTGAAAGACTTCTCGTCAACTATAGTTGTTTTCCTTGAGAATCGATGAAAAGAGCGGGAATTTATTATTTATTTGTATATTAAAAAGGTATATTAAAAAAGAAAATATTGTTTTTTCATTTAAGCGCGCTCGATTTCATTTATAATTATTGCTATATACTCGATAATAATCTTTTTTTTTGTTTTCTAATTTGAAGTTATTTTTCTCCACCATCGAGTATTTGATGAATACGGTTGTTGCAGTCTATTTTGAGGGGAGGGGG